CACGATAAATCGAAATGGAATCGAGATCGCGATTCGACAGAAGCTTCGCGACTGTCATGCGTATCTTTCAGTGAAGCACGGTTCTGTGATCAGCAGTAAATCTCCATCCAAAGGCCAGAGGGCGCTCTCGCGCTGAAACGCCAAATACGCCTCGCAGAAGAAACCCAGAAAATGCCTATCGCTGCAGCTGAATAAACAGAAGATTCAACTGCTTTCATTGATTCAACGTGACTAATAAACACACGACTACGGCAATATACGGTTTATCTGAGTTCTTATTATAATTTTAATTAAAATAAAGATTATTTATAATGCAAGGCCTTTATCACTGCTTAAATACTATGAAATATGTGCCTTATTCTGTGTAAGAAGCCACATCATCTCACAGAAGGATTTATTTCAAACACTCGACTACCACGGCTATGTGTAGTAAATTCTGCTCCATCTGAAAGCACGTGATGATGATTTCCTGCTAATTACAGAACCGGCTTTTTTAACAAAATGCGCATGACAATCGCATTCGATTAATCGTGCAGCCCTACCTGTAAGTTGCTTTAGATAAATACATCAGCCAAATGCATACATGTTGATTATAATGGCAGGATTCATTGGAGTACAGAGCATTCAGTGAGCTTTTATGAAGGTGTCAACTGTTACAGCTTGATTATAACAGCATGGTGTTGCTTGCTTTGAGTATTCAAAGTTTGAATAACAGGTTTGTTGTCATGCTGCTAAGTAAGTGTGATAAAGTTAATTAATTCATAACCAACCAATATATATTTGGAGCCCTATTTGAGTTAATGTAATATTTTCAAGCTAGGTAATGGACTCTTCACTTGTTTTTGAGAGGCCACATAAGATCTGTTAAGCATTGCTAGATGAACAGTTTCTATGCTAAATGGTTTGGGCCTAAATGATTTGCATTATAAAATGTGACTTGCATGAAAAATTCAAATTAGAGTGAATATTTTCTGATGTTTAACTTAAATTATTTTAGCAAATGGCTGCAATATAACAAAGAGTGAAAAATTGAAGGGGGTCTGAATACTTTCCATACCCACTGTAATTCATAACCAACCAATATATATTTGGAGCCCTATTTGAGTTAATGTAATATTTTCAAGCTTTTTGATTTTTGAGAGGCCACATAAGATCTGTTAAGCATTGCTAGATGAACAGTTTCTATGCTAAATGGTTTGGGCCTAAATGATTTGCATTATAAAATGTGACTTGCATGAAAAATTAAAATTAGAGTGAATATTTTCTGATGTTGTTGTTGATTTTTCTCCTTTCTAGGAACCCCAATGATTCCTGTCCACATGGGGATTATGACTCAAGCCCCTGCGGTAATGTTATTTAATTCTAGAACAATTGAATTATTTGAGTTAGTTTAGTCATTTCCAGTCTAAATGTATGTATGTAAGAAAGTATTTATTATCACTATAAAAAGTATTGCTATATTATAGAGCTGGGTTAAAAATATTGATATCCAAATTTTATTTGATTTTCATCATGAAAAACCTATATCGATTCTTAAATCCCAAGAATCGATCATTTAGTGTGTTTTTATTTTATTTTTCAGTTGATGCATGAATAAAACGTCACTAGTCATTGTGTGCACATCCCATATAATAATTGCAATAAGCTTTGTGCTTTGTTTCTTTTGATATGAAAAAGTCTCAGCTTTCAAATCCTGTCAGTTTTATCACAAAATAAAAAAAAAAGTTTTGTGTGCGCTTTAATGTGGTGTGACCGAGCGCTGTATCTGCCTCAGTTCAAGCAGCACGTGAACTCCTCTCTTCCTGTTTAATAAAGCACAAAATAAACATCAATGAACATCTGAAGGTTTTTAAAGAAACAGAACAACTTACTGAAATGTATCCCGTTTCATGTAATCGCTCAGTGTTTCAATGAAACAGCTTGTTAGCAATGTCACGACATCACATTTATTTTTAGCAAAGGCATTCAATGTCCATAATTTAGTTAGTTAGCTAGAAAAATAACTCTAGAGAGGAGCCTTTTGCTAAATCTATGCACTGCATAATTAGAAACATAGTTATATCATTACAATATACAGTGAAAAACATTCTATCATTGCAAAATTGATATAAAACATAAATGTAAAATGTCTGTATTCAGCAGTTTTTCTTTGAGTGTTTTATTGTATCTAATATAAACAGATATTGAAATTGGTACTCTGTTGTTCATTTTAACCTGACAGGCATCTCTGTATAGTTTAAAGCATTTGTTGAGAGATTATTTTCTTTAAGAAAATTTCACATGTACTGTACCTGATATACAGTATATCAAAATCGGATCAGTTTGTGAAATCTGTGTTAATACCCACCCCTAGTGTTTTCCTTTGTTTCTCAAGTATCTATCTCTATTCATGTATTTGCTTAGATTCCATTGCTTTGAAGTAAATTCAAAGTGTTTAAAACCGTAGAATTAAGTAATAATCTCGTTAAAACAAGGCATGTTTTTCAATAAATGAACACAAGGAATAAAGATATTTAACAATTTATTTATATGCAACCATGCACCGTAATAAACGGCAATATTTACTTGCATATGTTTGTACAAAAATATTTTAATATGCAAAAAATACTATGCCGATGCTTTCCGTTGAATCAGATTTTCATGGAGAAGCTAAATCTCATTTTAATATATGTCACCATCATGTTACTTTTTTGTCACATGGCTGCATATTAATTGTGATGTGATGTATCAGGTTCTCGTGCCCACGGCGATGTCTGTGGTTAGTAAAGTTGCTGTTCCCAGGAAGGAAAGCGCTGCTCAGGCAAAAGACAACCATGACAGCAGCGGCCCCACGACCACCGTATTTGTGGGCAACATCTCTGAGAAAGCGTCTGACATGCTCATCAGACAGCTGCTGGCCGTGAGTAGCACATCAGATCCAGTCACTCCAGTCTCAGAGCTCAACCAATAATAATACAGTTCAGTCTTATGCATTCTCTATGCATTCAGCAATGTGGAGATCCTTGCATCAGAGATGGGAAAAGCTTCACTTGATAATAGTTTGAGCTTTACTCTAAAGTGAAATTTAATGTTTAGTGTTGTTGATATTAATTGATATTGGATTGATATTAATAATAATCACTTGTTTTTCAGAAATGTGGTTTGGTATTGAGCTGGAAACGAGTTCAAGGTGCCTCAGGGAAACTCCAAGGTAAACATTTTTTAAACACCTTGACTCATTTTCTTTTCAGCCCAGTTAGTTTCACTCAAAATCAATATTGTGATGAGGTTTAGTGCGAGTTGATTGAATTAATGCTTCACTGGTCTCAAGCATGGTATTTACACGCGTGTTGTTCATGATTCAGTGTTCCAGTGTCTGAGAACGGCTTCGTTCATTCACGTTCTGAGCTGTTCTCAGACACTGATATCATGAACTGCTTGCATGTAAATGAACACACAAAACTGAGCTTCACTATGAGATCAGCAGCGCATATTTTCATTTGCCTGCAACTCATCAAAATAAAAGCTGGGGGATGGTTTACTGTTTGAAAATGAAGAAATTAAGACACATTTTAAGTGTTGTAATTTTACAGTAAAATGTAAATTTTACATTATTGTATGTATTACAGTCAATTTCTTATTTTAATATTTTTTTATATTGAATATTTATTCTCAATATTATAATCAATCAAAATAAAATCATGACAATTATTTTACAGTCATATTGAATTGGTCAAAAACGGTGAGAAGGAGGCCTATGAAAACTTGAGTGGAAATATTTTTAAAACTCTGACTCTGTTACTGAAAGAGGCTTGAATTGGTTCTTGTAAAAGGTAAATTCAAGTATGAACACCCAAATTTATGAAGTATTTCCCAAATCTTGCAGCCCGAAAAGGATAAAAAAAAAAACATTTTAAGTAAAGCCTTTATTTAAAGTTATTTCATTTTCCATGCAGATACACTCCCCAACACTAATGCTATTCAAGTGATCTGCTGAAAATTCCTGCATTTTTTTCAAATTGCAAATTATATTGCAGAAAAAGAAAATATCGCTATGTCAGTTTTTTTTTTGTGTTTTTTTTTTGTGTTTTTTTTTTAAGTCATATGGCCCTAGTTGCATTGCCTGTGAATTGTGAATATGCCAGACTGGCTCCTCACAGACATCTTTTTTGTTCTTTGCTTTCAGCGTTTGGTTTCTGTGAGTACAAAGAGCCTGAATCTACTCTACGATCTCTACGGCTGCTGCATGAGCTGCAGATTGGAGAAAAGAAACTTCTGGTCAAAGTCGATGCCAAAACCAAAGCACAACTGGATGAGTGGAAAGCACAGAAGAAGAGCACCAGTGAAAATGGAGTAAGTGTAACAGTTTGATGTCAGGTTGATACTAAAATAAAAACGTACTGTTCACTTGTTGAGAAAAATGTTATATAAAATTTTCAGACTACTGATTTTGTGACTGTCTCAGATGCTGAGTTTTGATCTGTGTGTCTGGCAGAATGGCAAGGCAGAGGATGGTGCTGGTGAAGAGGAGGTTCTGGCTGAAGAAACGAAGAAGCGGGACCAAATTGTCAAAGGTGCCATTGATGGCCTGATCCGGGAGTATTCAAACGAGCTCAACGCTACATCACAAGACGATGAGTCGAGTCGCCGCAAAAAGAGGAGAGAAAAGAAGGACGAGGTTGGCTTTAGTTCATCTTGGCCTTTTGTTCTTGAATGTTTTTGCCAGTTGTTTGATGTACATGTGTGTTTAAATATTTGTTTTATTTTTTTTTTCTTGTGTGTATATGTATGTATATATGTGTGTATATATATAAATATATATATATGTGTGTGTGTGTGTGTGTGTGTATATATATATGTATATACGTATATATATATAAGTATACGTATATGTATATATGTGATATATGTGTGTGTATATATATATGTATATACGTATATATATATAAGTATACGTATATGTATATATGTGATATATGTGTGTGTATATATATATGTATATACGTATATATATATAAGTATACGTATATGTATATATGTGATATATGTGTGTGTATATATATATGTATATACGTTGTGTATATATATATATATATGTGTATATATATATATATATATATATATATATATATATATATATATATATGTGTGTGTGTATATATATGTACACACACACTCACATTTAATTTTTGAAAATACTGTGTGTACGCAATTTTACACAAAATTTAAAAAATGAAGGATGTTTTAAAAAATATTTTGGTTGGACTTTATTTTACAGTACATGTACTTTCAGTGTACTTACCCAAAGATAGTACTGTTAGTAGAAGGTAACTACATGGGTTAAGGTTAGGTTTAGAGGTAGAGTCAGGGTTATTACCTAGTTGTTACCCAGCTATTGTGATTGCTATAATAACAACATGGTATGTACACGTGGAACAGGACTGTAAAATAAAGTGCTACCTATATAGGGTACGTTACAAATTTGAACCATGTTCTCCATCTCTTTAGGATGACATCAGTGCCATGGAAATGGAAGATGATAAAAGAGATCTGATTTCCAGAGAGATCAACAAATTCCGCGATACACACAAGGTAAAATACTTGCTAATTTACTCCATATCACATGTAGAGCACAACAGCCTCTTACACCTAGTTTAATTTGACAACATACCAGCATGAGTAGATGCTATTTAGCCTGTCAATTCCATTTAGCTCAGCAACACTTCTATTACATTTAAGCTTTAAATTATATGATATAGTGCAGCAATATATTAGTTTAAAACTAGGCCTCATTTGGGTCCACAGCATTTATATCAGTGGTTTTGTAAAAACTGTAGCGTGGCCTTCATGTTATGGGTGGGAAATGTAGTCACACATACAATGCATGGACGTTCTGTGCACTTCCCTAAAAGCTAATCTATTCATTAAACCCCACCATTATGATAGAGATCATATGGTGACTAAACCAAGATGAATCTCTCAGCTTTGGAAAAAGTTGCAAGGATAGGATGTAAGTATGAGATTTCCATTTTTCTCTACTTGTACTGGGCGCCCCCTTCTGGAGGACTCGCACAGGGGCAACTGCACCGACTCGCTCTGAAATTCAGCTCGTTCGTGTGGTTTTAATATCAAAATAGATATGGGGGTGTTCGGTCAACTCTGCAGTGTTTACTAAGGGATAAACTGCTAAACGACACATTTTCTTGTTCTCTGAGACATGGGTGGCCAGTGAACCTGTGTGGGTCTGCTAGTAAAAGTGATGTTGGTGCTATAATAGATAATGCTGACTTGAATAACAGTGAATTGGCCAATTCGGCTCTTGTGAAAGTAGGGGGCGCCCCTCCACAGCACACGGACTTTCTGAAGATTCTACAGGTATGAATTTGCTTTCATTTCTGCTCCTCATTCCTGCTTGCTTGCACTATTTTATTTATTTATTTTTTTTCATTTTAAGTGTTTCTTTGTTTGTGTGTGTGTGTGTGTGCTCTCTCAACGTCATCTTAAAGTATTCTTTTGTTGTAGAATTACTGCAAAACCCAGAAAATAGAGGCTAATATTTAATTCATAAAGTCGGTCTCATAACACTAAGTATTAAACTTTTACACGTCACAGACACAAATTAGTTCCTAAGTCATACAGCTTGAGAGATTACATTTGTCAAAAGTCCCCATATCTAGAGACTAGAATAGACTTGTCATGAGCTCTTTTGAATTGGACCATTTAGTGACCACCCACATCACCCTAGCAAGTGCGTAGCAACATTAAAGAAAGAAAATAAATAAATAATAATTAAAAAATTTATTTTACACACAATTTTAAAGATATTAAAAATATTTTTATAATATATATTTCAAAGTATTCAGAATTAGTGGGTGAAAAACTGTAGTTCTTGGTCTACAACAGTGCTATTTTATTTATATACTATATTAATCTTTTGGATTAGATATTAAATATTTGGAGTGTCCATTTTAAGCTTTAGAAATATGTGCTTTTGTAATTTTTATTATTTATTTATTTAGCTTTAATTTGTTTTTGTTTCTAATTTTAGGAATTTTATAACTTCAACTTAATTTTTCAGTTATTTGCCAAAGCAACACAAAAATATAAATGTTTAAGTTTTTCAACTTAAACTTAAAATTACTATCTATATTTTATTTTATTTCAGCTTTATTTCAATTACTTGGACCATTAGTAACCACCCACATCACCTTAGCAAGTGCATATAAATTTTATAATATATTTTACAATATTTAAAAAATCTTATATAATATAATTTTTTTCATTTTATTCTTTTTTTTTTTTTGAGCTACAAAATATTATATACTATATACCAAAGTATTCAGGTGTAGTGGGTTAAAACAACATAATTTATCAACTATTATAGTTTTTTTTTTTTTTTTTTAATATAAATAAGTTGTATTTTTGAGTTTATTTAAATTTTAGTATTAGTAGTTTTTTAATTATGCTTTTCTCATTTGTAATACTTGTTATATTCTGTTTAGCTTTATTTTTGCTTTTAGTTTGTCATTTTACTTCAACTTATTTTATTTCAGTTAGTTGCCAAGCAACATTTCAAATTTTCTAAAGGTTTTTTTTGTTCATCTACTATCTATCTTTCCGTCTACATAACAATACTTTTAAATGTGCAGTAGTTTTCATGAGATTGAAGACTTCATGTAAAATATGATTCATTTTGCTGATCTAAAGATTCGTGTAGCTTACCAAACTATCCCGTTTAATTCACCAGCAGAAATGTTATTTAAAAGCAGCGTCACTTGTAAATGACATGCGTTTATGTAATTATTTTCAGCGAAATGCCTGTATCCACAGTTTTTGTTTTCCTGTCTCGTCTTCACCTCCTGTTGTACATGTTTATTTGCTGCTGCTGCTCACAGCTGTGTAACACCCACGGTTCAGCGCTAATGAAATAGTTTTGTATTAAAATTAGACTTTTATATATATTTACAATGAATTCAGGAGACTTTAGTTTTCTGGGAAGTAGAAGCTGTTGATAGATGCCACTCAGTTGAGTCTAAAGCCGTGGGTGTCGTGCTGCTCTTCAGTGCATTTCACAATCGCTCAGTCTGATCCTCTGAGAGCCTGTGTCATCTGCAGTGGGGTAAGCAGTCTCTACACCTTCATTTGTTGCCTTTTCTGTCCAAACCACAAAGAAACTGCAAAGAAAAAGAAGCAAATCTAACAAATACAGTATGCAATGCTCCTGTCACAGCGTTTTCAAAATGTCTGGAAGTTGTCTGTGAGATTGTTGCAAGCAAAGAGAATAGTTTGTTTTTTATTTTTCCTTGTGAATCCTTTGACCTGCTTTTCCTCCCAGGCCTAACAATAAAGGGTTGTAGGGCCACGGAAGCGCTGTGAGTCGCTAGTCAACACCTGTAAGTGCACAAACAACTAGTTTCACAAGGATTGAAGCCTCTTTCTGTTGATCATGTGATGAGATGGAAATTACAGCGCCCTTAAATGGTTCTGATCTTATTCAGTTTGCAATGTCTGATTAGTATATCGAAAGTGGTTTCCAGGCTTCCTTTTATTAATTGCTGAACAATTTCTTGATGTACTCGCTGTTTCGTCTAGATACTGTCCTCTGTCATCATGCAGGGCGATTCAAAAGTCATAAAGAGTCCACACTGGAAATCTGATTCGTTTAAATTAAGTTTTAGGAAACTTTTAAAATAAAGTCATGACATGCATGTATGCAAGACCATTTCCATTGTGGAATATATAAAAGAAAAGGTAATCACAGTTTGAAAATTTTTTTTTTTCGTTTATATCTCAATCCAGATTTTTTTTCTCACATTTATGCTAGATATATAAGATTGTGGAAGAAAAAAAAATCTGAATTAAGGGGAAAAAAAAGTCTGAACTCACAAACCTATGAAATAAACATGAGATGCATATTTCATATTTCATATTTTTTTCTTTTTCTCTTTTTTTGACTTTTTTCTTCTCACAATTTCTGAC